GTACTTGTGCCATTAATTCATTTTGTTATGAATACTTCTTTCTTTTTGAATAAAGAGCCATTAGTTTTACTTCTTTTTGTCATTTTTTCCCTTCCTTTTGGAGCCTATTAAATTTCTGCTTTTTTCTGTTTTGTACACTTTGTCCCTTGCTGACCCACACTGGGTATTGCTGTAATGCTGCCATATCCAATTTTCCCCTCCCCACGCGCACGCACACACCTTGCTTATTCCATTTACTAGGCACGTCTCTGAGCACAGTTTCAGTATTTCTGTAACCAGCACGTAAGAGATATCACTTGGTTGCCGATGGGGATTTGATAACACATTTTGTTCTTGCAACTCTCCCATGCATACAGATGTGCATTAGACTTTCAGTTTTGAAATTCTAATTTTTTTTTCTTATGGATTTCGGGTAAACGCCCCTTAGCTTAGAAGAAGTTTTTGGTTTGGCAGGGTTTGCAGAAGTCATGCCTTAAGCTGGATGTGTGAAATTTGTTCTTGGAAAGGGAGGTAATTTAGAACTGTGTGAAGAAATAGATTATCTCAGTGTCATGAGCATTTATTTTCCACATCAGAAGGGTTTGTGTAAAATGCTGAAGGATTTATTTGAAGCTGAGCAAAGTGTATGCTCAGTTATGAATATTCAAGGAAGAGGCAATAGATTTTCTAAATTAGGAATTGAAGCTACAGCTATGTGACTCCCTTTTTTGGGTGATAGAGAATCTCTTCAAAATCAGACTCTGAATAGGATAGGCAATTAGAGGATTCCAGTGAATAAATTTGTCTACAAAAATTGACTTGCTAAAAGGTATTGGCAAGTTCTGTCAACTGATGGAGCTCAACAAATTGGCTTTTCTATCACCAGATGAACTTTCAGGGGAAAAAGCATGCTATGTGGAATGAAAAATGCACAAGCAACATTTCAATGAGTAACCAATAAAGTAATTGAAGGACGTTTAACTGTGACATCAGTTTGGTTGATTTTTATCCAAACCTGGAAATAATACTTTACACAATTTGACTGAATGAGTGGTTGGTTTGATGTGCTGGGAAAAAGTTGTTTTTGGTTATAAATCTGGCTACGAGTGACTTTGCCAAGGCAGAGGTGATATAATGGCATAGACCAAGTAACCCCAAGAGGTAACAGTGTGGGCTATTTTGCATTTTCCCATGACTAGGACAAGTCTAGGATTTTTAACACAAGCTTGTTCTGAACTTATTTGTTGAAGAACATCAGAAAATTTGTATAGAATGAGTGTAGAAGAGCCTTTGAAAGCTGTCCTGATTACGGCACCGTTCTTCCATGTTTAGCGATGAGGAGCCATTTGAGCTGATTAATGACAACATGGGGACTGTTCTACTGCAAGATGATAGGATGGGATTAAATGTCCTGTCAGTTATTTTTGAAAGAAACTGACTGCATGTCAGCAAAAAATTTCGACAGAGGAAAAAGATTTTGACTCTTGTGATTGGCTGTACAGCTGAGTCCACTAATCCAATAAAGATGAAGGATTGAAGCTGAGACCCCCTCAGCCTGGTTGGTACTTTCCCACTGCGGTGCACTTTGATTTAGTTTTGAATCCTATCGGCCTGTGCCAATGGTCCAATAAGAATTCATGCTGGAATGTTAAGTCAGTCTTCCTGGTCCTGTGAGATGTGCTATCAATCAATTAATTATTTTCCATCTTTCCTCATGTGATTAAGGTTTAGACACAGACAAAATAACTGCAATTTACAACTGGGTAGATTTTACATTTGTCTGCCTTGATCAATAGGACTTGATGCTTCGACATGGCTGGAGAACAGGAGCGATTGTACCAGAATTAGATACAGAAATCAGCACCATTAACACCGAACAGTTTACACATGGACTGACCTGGCTACAGGTTCTGACAGGACTTCTGGAGAGGCTGCAGGTAATTTCATCACTTCTGCAATATCCCGGTTCAAGTGAGTTTTGCTGGTCTGCAAGCTCATCACATTCTGAGAAGTAACCTCATTCCCTTCAGATTTATACTTGATTCAGGTTTGCCTGCACTTTTACTCCAATTCTCATTATTCTCATTATTCCCATTGTTCTTGGCAACGGATTGAATACTGAATGCTGCTTGTCCTATCTGCTTCAAAAGAGTTTGTGAAAACCAGGGATGTGGGATCATTTTCATTTGAGGCAAATATATTCAGTGATGACACTGGATTTTAATGAGCAATTAAGTTGGCCAGGACATTCCAGAATGATGCTCAAATTGTTAGACAAAAGTTGCTTTTTTTTTGGTCTCTAGAAGTCATTTTAGTTTGAAGACTGCACTGACTGTTCTGATATCTTTTTAATTGTTTGAACATGAGGTATTGAATAGGACATAATGGAGGGCAGGACACTTTTGGAACTTGATGTACAATGATAAGCTTGGAATTTGATCAGTCTCCCACTCCCCTTGCCTTAAGTCATCGTCAGACTCTAGAATTGTGTTCCAAACTGCTAACAATCTGGAACTGTCGTCAACAAACAATTCTTTGGCACTAAATATTATCTCTGTCTTTGCTTAATTTATTGGATAATTCAATGTTTTAGTGCAGGGGTAATGGGAATAATCAATACCCATATAATTTAAATTACTAACAAAAACAGAAATGGCTGGAAAAGCTCGGGAGGTCTGGCAGCATCTGTCGAGAGAAGTTCTGAAGAAGGGTCACTGGACCCAAAATGTTAACTCTGATTTTTTTTTCTCCACGGATGCTGCTAGACCTGCTGAGCATTTCCAGCACTTGCAGTTCTTTCGGTTCTGTTTAATTCAAGTTACTGCCACCTTCCCAAATGAATGCCTTTTTTTCGCTTTTTTTTGAACGGTGTTCTCATGGTAATGGATTATTGCTACTTGAGCAGAGTAGTGACTGAAATAAAATTGTAAGATTTCACCTATTTCTGTAATATATCACAGTATCTTGTATCCACAGGTATATCAGGATGCTGAGTCTAAACAAGTGCTCAATGAATGGATAAAGGAGAGACAAGAATTAATGTAATGTATTGTGTTGTAATTTTGATGTAATATTGAAAAAACAAGCATTTTTGCACAAGACAATTTTAAACAAAAGCTTGGAGCTCTGCAAGTATAACAAATATAATTAGTTTACACTGAGAAAGCCATAAAGATACATTGCAATCTGATGTATGTTTGTGGCCTCATCTGAAAGAGGACAGGCTAAAAGGAAAAGATTTGTCAATGAAGTGCTCACAAATCTGTGGATGAAAATCAATATTCAGAATGAGTGCACGTCCTTGCAATAGAACAAGGACCATGCTTTGATTGTATTAATATATATGCATCTTGCACCACAAAGGTGAGAGCTCACGGCAAGTTCAACATTTGATTGAGTGGTGGAAGTTATTGTTACGTTGTAGCAGTTAATGGGGATCATCTGACCTACTGTTTCATTTAGTGAATTATTTTAACCGGCAGGTGCGATAGACTGCCTGGTGAAAACAGGAGTGGTGAAAGCCATAAAAATGAAGACACAATTTTTAAATTGATGCAGAAGATGGTCCTGAATCATTAAATAAACACTTATCAGAATTCCCAAATTTGCAAAATGTTTTGAATTAATTATTGATGGAAAAAATGAGTTTGTCAAATCTTTTTATCTTCTCATCAGGACAATTCACAAGAATTGCCAAGTAAAGGGGAGAAAATATGTATTTAAGGAGGAGAATGTTGACTGATAGAGGCATTGCCACTGAGAATGAACTAGTTAAAAGATGACTGACAATTAACTACCAAAATTGTTGGAGGAGCAAAGTGACTAGCAGTTAGCAAGGGCAGAAGATGTAAAAGCTAGAACAGTGAGCGAGGCTGAGAAGCAAGGCCAGAGAGATAAGGGGTGGATGCCCAGGAGTGAGAGTGCCAAAGCTGAGGATTGAGGGAGAGGATCTGGAAAAGAGGTGAGGCTCTAAAACGAGAAGGAAACTGGGAGAATGGTATGGGATGTGGGTTGGAATTAATTTTGCAAAGGGGAGAAAACTATTTAATTTTTTTTCCCACAAAGGATCACTTCCCTAGGTGTGAACAGATAAACAAAGGTAATGAATTCCTTGCGAATATTAATAGTCAGTTTTTACATTAAAGTTGCAGGAGTTGAGCTGCTGTATGGGGTAAAGTGCAATGGGGGATGTGATTGCAATGAATACTTACAACTGTATCACATCTATTAACAAGTGAACAATTTTATTTTATGATTTTTATTTGTGTTATCACATCTCAAAGCATCATTCAAACAATGAATTACTGCTGTGCTAATGACAAACCTGCATCGCCTTAACTGTGACCTCACCAGTTTAGTTCTTTTTGTTTGAAAGTGTCAACTTTTTTTAACAGAAAAGCAATTGTTAATAAATTATGCCTGTTGTGCCAATTTATATGGTGTGGTATCTAAGAAGTGAATGTTTTCATGTATGTTGTGTTTTTAGTTTTTAGTCATAAAGTCAGATGCACAGCATGGAAACGGACCTGTTTAGACCAGTGATGATGATAGGGGCGGTTGATGAATTCTTCTAATTCTACTTCTGAGTTCAGCGCTCTCCTCCTCTCCCATTTCCTTTCCCCCTCCCAACATCAGAACAAGTACAGAAAGAATTATTGCTATGTGACTGCATGGTCTAATTAAGGAGTTGAGTGAAAAATAAGCTCTTAATCAAAAAGTAGTCCTCAATCTTGTGGCAGTGGGAATCATTTTGAGCCCTACAGAACATAGATAAGAGACTAAACCCAAGACCATATCAGTCAGTATAAGATATGAGAATTTTTCAATTGGGAATTGGAGTGTTTATTTTGTTGTTTCAGCAATGCCATGTTAGTTTTGTCTCTCTTTTTTTCATGTTGCATATGAAAGATTTCAGGAATCAAGGCCCTGCTGAATGAGTTTTTGAGGATTTCATGAATAAATTGCCAATGTTTTAGAATTTTATCTGTAACATTTTTTATAAAAAAAACAATAGTTCTAAGTTTCCTGAAAGGCCACTAAGATTCCTTAGTTCATTCTGGCACACCCTGCTTCATCTTCTGGTTCCTCAACTGATGAAGAGTCAAATACCTGAGAATTACATAAGGGGATTCCAAAGAAATGGCACTGTTAGCATATGAGATTTGGCTATTAGATTTTAACTGGCCAAGGGTATTGGGGGATGATAGAAATGCTGGAAATCTCCAATTTCAGATCATAACCACTTTCTTGGTTTTTTTTTTCCATTTCTTCCCCCAGCGCCACCTGCCGACAACAATTCTGATACAAACACTAAAGCTCCTCTGTCTCCATCTTCTTTTTTGTTTGTTTACTTCTCCGACTACGAGCTCCTTCTGTTTTGCACCACAACCCCATTTTTGCCATTTTATTTCTTCTGCCTTTCCCCAGAAACCCACTGATCTCTCTAGACCTTTCCACTTGTTCTTTTGACCCCTTTTTTCTTTCTTCCCTGCATCATAAATGTTGCAGCCCTGACCAAGGTTAATCAACCGGAAACATTGACTCAGTGCTTTTCTCTACAGGTGTAGCCTGAACTGTTGAGTATTTACAATGTTTTCTGTTTGTATCTTAAGGAAGTTGAGGATTTTAGAACCAATGTGGCTGGATGCAGAAAGAGTGCAGATTAACTAATGATTTCATCAAATAATGGAACATTTAAAAATATCAGTAATGTGTGCAAGTGATTTGAAAATAAATTTTAATCTCTTGTAATATTGCATATGGACAGTAAAGCTGGTGGGATTCTCCCCAGTCAATGAAGTGCACGCCAGTGTGTGTCGGACCTAATGGATATCATTGACAGAATCGACACGCATCCTAAAGGCCAACTTCATAAGAAAATAAGGGTTCTGACTTGGTTTTAAAACTGAGGGATGGAAGATATGTAGTAACTTCTCAGAAGCTGATATAAGTTAACTTTTTTTAATCTTGTTTTAGGTCTCTGACCAAGAATTTATTCAATCCCCAGTTCGGGAGCATCTTCAGGACCTATCATAACCCGACCTATTTTTCACGAAGATTGTGCAGATTCTCTGACATCTACATGTCATCCATCAGTTGTCTGTTAAACTATGACACCAGCTACACCTTCTATCCGAGACGGACTCCTTTGCAACATGAAGCACCACTCTGGATGGACCAGCTTTGCACCGGCTGCATGAAGACTCCTTTCCTGGAAGAGATGGTCCACATGCGATAAACTCCATTTTAGTTCCGTTGCAGATTTGGTTTAATGGTACATTTTCATCCAAAAAGTTTACCCACAGGTTGTAAACAATGTGGCCTGTTCTTATTTGAAAAGGTGTGAATTGTGCGTTTGAATAGAAAATGATAGTGGTGATCGAAATGATCATGATCATAGTGAAATAGAGTAACTATTGTTAATCCTTCCTAGACCAGGCCCTATTCCACTTTCCGGTCGATGAGACCTGCTGTGGATTCTCTCCCTTTTTTTTTTTTTTTTGTTCGAAATTCAAGTCTGCTTTACATAGTCTGCAAAAGTTTTCTTATATCACTGAAAACGTAAGGTCTGGATGGATGACTCTCATTGGTCCAATTATCAGTCATTTTAATTTCCACAATTTGCAGAGGGTTGACCTTTAAAATTTTAATCTTTGTCTCTGGCCATAAGACCTAAATTTTTTAATAGTAGTGTAACTGTAGAATCTCACTTCAGGCTGTCGGTCTCTGGGGCCTTTGCATCTTGCAAATGAGAAATGTGAGGGTGCACGTGGGAAGTGGAATTGTATTTAAAATGCGTGTGCTGTACGATTCATCGAATTCATTTCAATACATTGTGATGTGGGACTTGTTAAAGGGAAGAATTATTAATGTGGTTAGATAGTTGTATTTATAGATATTCCACGCTAGGATGTTTCACTTGAAGCCAGCTTAAGCATTTTGAAAATGCATAAAGAATTGTTTTAACTTTGAGCAGCATGTGTACTTGTGCACTGGTTCTTCAGGCGCTTTTGAAAGGTGTTTCACACGATGTAATCTATACCAGATCACAAACTTCTGTTCATAGTGCCCACAAGATCCTGTAATTGAAGCTATTCAAATCTGCAAAGTTAATTCTCAAGGTTTTCTTAAGCTTTTCTGGAACTAATTTCCTTGTTTTTCTGCCACCCAAAAAAAAAAGTCCTCCCCAAAACCATGAAACATTGCAACGTAATCGCTTCTTGTGTGATCTTATCTCAAATTCTGACATTGGACCAAATTTGTTTTAGTATTTTGCAACGGCAAAATTATATTCGGAGGGCCATAATGAGGTACAAAATGCAACTGCATTTCTCAATTATGTCCATTAATAAGTGTTACATTGGAATTTATCATTTTAAGGGGTCACCAGTGAGTTTTAATATTAAAAGATGCTTAAGACCAATTTCATGCACAAAGTGTATGCAGACATTGTATTGCCTTGTGAATTGATAGATTAACCTGAATCTGTGGGACAAGGAGTTTGGAACAAGAGAGAACGAACTTTCCTGACCACTGGGCCCAGAACAAGTATCATTAGGAAGAAAGACTTGGAAGGGAACGAAGAGAATGGTGCTTTTACTAGTTTACGTATGTTCTAAAATGTGAAAAAAATAATAGAGAAAAATTTTAAGGGAGGATATTATAGGCATGTCATCATGGCTACAAAGAACTTGCACCTGTTTTTTTTTTTTATATTGTGGTATGGTGACCTGAAGCACTTGCCTGTTTTAGAAGATTAGAGTTGAGTAAGTTGGTTGAAGGGATAGTGAAAGGTTTGGGAGAAGTTGTAGCTGGGCAGATAAACTTAGGGAGGATTTGGAGAGATTCGGCTGAAAGCTCTGTATCCACTGTGACAGCAAAAGGTTGTCGGGGATATGGCGGAACACTCAAATTGGCAATACGGAAATTAAAACTGTGGTTCAGTAAGAAGGCTGGATGTTAGATGCAAGATGCTGCTGCAAGTAACCTGATCTAAACTTCTGCTGACACGCTTACCTGTATTGACAGGTCATTTTTATGAATCTTGAATAAATTTGTTACAGAAATATTGAAAATAAAACTCTTTTTGATCTATTATTAGTAGTGGATCAATGGTGCTGTTGCTGTGTGATGTGGAGCCCATTTTGGTATTTTGCTGCTAAGCTGGCCTGTTCAATCAGGCCTGTTAGAGTACCCTGTGCAGAAATCCAGGTTACAGCTTGTTGTTTCGGATAATTTAAGGTCAGTAAATTGCTTGAAAATGAAAGCAAAATACTGCTGATGCTGTAAATTCCTTGAGATTTTAGGCTCTGGGTGAAAAGAACCCACTAAGAAGACTTGCTTTCTTTTGTCTTTTTAACTTGTTTTGAATAACGAGCTGTGATTCCTGTATTGAGACATGCATGCACTAACTGCATTGAGTTAAAACTGCCATTCTGCAGAGGAAGCTTGATGTAGTCATTGATTTTTTTTTTGAGGATTTACCAATACATAGTGCTGTTTATAGTTATTTATAGTACTGGTTTTGACCTTAAACTTTACAACCTTTTTTGTCTTTGCTGATCTGTGGTTTAAATGCACACATCAGTTGTGTAAATCTGCACATTAACCCATTAAGTTGTCAGTACACTTGAATTTTGATTTAACGTTCCAGTTTCTAATGTTTTGAGATTTGGAAAGGGTACCATTTAAGTTTCTTTCACCTTTTTAGCCTCGACAGCTTCAGTAAAAATTGTGAATTCATCACATGATCACCAAAAATAATGTATTTAGCAGTCTATTCAATGCATCAGTGCAGTGAAGATCCACCCGATTCCCAATAACATTCTTTTAAAATCCAATACTCCCGGCTTTACGTAATGCTAAAGGACCAAGGAGTACATTGTTTTATCAACAGCAAAGCGAGATGAAATAGAGGTGGCTACCATTTAGCAAGCATTTTATTTTTCTTCAGTTCATCTTTTATGTGGTTTTGAAAGAATTGTTAATTACTGTAAATTTTATTTTCAATTAAATCTTTATAAACTGAACATCTATTCTGAACTTATCAACTGCAGTTAAGTATCAACAACCAGAAACCACATTCATACCCATATTTCAAAGTTAGTACACTGGAACTGTTGAGCAATGTAGTTCTGTATTTGTTTAAAGTTGGTGGATTAAGTCCAGAATGATAACAGTTGTGTAGATTGAGTGAGTGTTTTTCTTTTGGGATGGTAAAGTTGCCTGATAGGCAGCTCATTATTGAGCACCTGTCCCAATCAGATGAAATTCAGTGCCCAGTATGGATGAGAAAATTGATCATTTTAAAGCACGTGAATATGTTGCTTTTGTAGAACTGGCAACTCTGCTGCCTGGTTGCTGCAAATGTTACTCTGTACCCAGCAGCTTGAAAGATGTGTGGTACATACAGGTAGTCCTGACTGAGATTGGGAACTCCAACAATGGATGTTTGCAGCTGCAAACTATCAGGCTGCTCTGGGGTGCAATTTTCCAAGCTATTCTAAAAGTTAGTCTTTCTTAGTTTCTTCTTTTTCTGGTAAATTGTTTCTTGGTTGCAAAGTTCCCTACTTTTCCAACTTGCTACTTTAAAGTTGCACTTTTTAAAAATAGCTTTAGCGTGTACAATGTATCTTATAAAGCTTCTGATTTCATCTATTCCTTTATAGAATTCCTCATTTCTACACCACCTTCCACATTTTCCATGACTATTTTGTAGCATTATGGGAGGTCACGCAAAAACATCACTTTTCTCGTCTGGAGATGAACAGCTTTGTCCATGGAGAGTCAACAACGGCACTGAACTGCACAGTGCCATTAACATAACAAAATGTCCCAAAATGCTTCACAACAGCATTGTGAATCAAATTATGACAGCGTCACAAAAGGAGCTAATTGGGTAAGATGACCAAATGTTTGCTCAAGTAGTAAGTTTGAAGGAATATCTCAAAGGAAGGGAGTGAGGAAGAGTGCTGCAGTGATTTAGGGAGGGAATTCTAGAGCCTAGGATTTCAAGACATAGCCATTGCTGGAGCATTTAAATTTGGGGATGCACAAGGCCAGTATAAAAGGAATGCAATTATTCTAGTTGAGGCTGGAAGACATTGTATATAGAGGGAGATACAAAGTCCTGGAGAGATTTTAAAATGGGAATGAGAATTGTAGTATCTAGATGCTTGATTGGATTTGTTTTATGTTTTTTTTAATCCAAAAGTTCAATAGCTGAAGTAGGTAGCATTTTCTTTTAATTTAAAAAAGCTTCCCCCTTATTCACAATTTTCGGATCACCATAGCAGTCGTCTTGCACATTTTTAGATCATGGAGCTCATGAAAACAGATAACTATATAAGTCATCTTGCTTTCCCAGCTGGGCAAAGTTGAGTTTTGGGTTTTTGCAATATTCAGCTTCCATGTTTCATGAAATTGTAAACTGGTTATGTGACATTTTCCAACTTGTCTCTCTGTTTGCTTATGTATTTGAAATGCCTCATAGTTTTGTGTTCAAGTTGAGCTGAATTGTTGTTGATAATGTTAGAAATTGAAGTGTCCTGTAGTAAGTAAGTGAACTGTTGCTGTGATACCTTGGCTTATAGAGATGTCACATCTTTTGGGTTTTTCGGCTGTAGTTTTCAGTTATGAACTGTCAATGTTTCACACTGATTTAACACTATTTTGACTTGCTTGCTTCATGTATTTAACATCTAATGAAATGTTTTAGAAGTCTGAGTTTTAAAACAAAATGGGTGATGTAATGTCTTCTGTACTGTATATTTCAGAAATAATAAACTAGGTAAGTGAACTGAAGTTAGTTTTTTTTTTATTCATTCAAGAGATACGAGCATCGTTGGCTAGGCAGCATTTATTGCCCATCCCTGATTGCCCAGAGGGCAGTTAAGAGTCAACCACATTGCTGTGGGTCTGGAGTCACATGTAGACTAGGCCAGACCAAAAATTGTATCAGAGATAGTAGGAACTGCAGATGCTGGAGAATCTGAGATAACAAGGTGTA